GAGTAACTTATAGAGTTACACATCCAATATAGAGTTACTTATAGAGTCAACTTATAGAGTTACTCAAATATAGAGGTGTCATGAACTCACAACTGGGGATGAGGAGATGTTAGATCAAAGAAGTCTCACTAAAATAGTAAGTTTAGCCTTTAAAGATAGTCATGTTGGTAAAGTGAGGAGTGTGTGCATGCACGTGTGTGCTGTACGTGTGTGTATACCTGCTGTCTATTTCCCACATGCTCTGCACAGGTCCTAAGGTAGTCACCCTACCATGGAGTTCTCAGTAGTTACTGGCAGCCATGTCCCTGATGGAATTCAATTCCCAGGCTATAGGACATGAGTGAAAGCTGGTTTATGGAAATGGCCCATTAGCTAAGCCTCAAGATTCTGCCCTTCAAGTGACAAGTTCTGAAGTGCCATATTAGAGGCTTTTTCATTGCTAACCCCACATCCTCTATGAACAATCCCCTTGCTTCCCATGCACCACATTTCTATTCCTGCTTATGTGAGGCCTGCCTGGATCCCAGAGGCAAATGATTGGTTCTGAGGACAGGGAAGTTTTCCTTGTGCTACCTCTAGGTTCTGCCCTTTCTGACCCTCCCCACAGGAACAGCGCTGACACCTCCCTTTATCTCTGTGTCTAGCTTCTCCTTCGGCACATAAAGAAATACATGCAAATGTGAGGAACTTTAAGCTGAAACGTGTTTCCTAAAAGTCCATAAGGGAGACCCACTCAGAAAAAACAAAAGAAGCTTTCCCAGAGAAGAGAAACAGGCTCTGCCCCTTTGCTGGTTCCCTTGGCCATGCAGTACACAGCCCATGCTGGAAGACCAGCACTCTTCATGTTGGGAGGCTGGCATCCTGTGATGGAAGGCTCGCCACTCTGTATTCTCATATTTTCAAAGCTAAGCAATGTAAGTGTTGTGGAAAATGTTCTTTTATTTTCCTTCCATAGAAGAGAAATATCCCACCCCCCCATATCTGCCAAAACATTATTTAAAAAAAAATAATTTCTTTTTCATGTGCATCAAAAGGGGTGGGTGGAGCTTGTGATGTTATCTTCCCCCCCTTCAGTTGCTCAAGTCTGCTTTTCGGGAGTGTTCAGATCCACACACTTGTGTCACTAGTTGCAAGTCTCTAATTATGGTCCCCACCACTGGAATGCAAGAAAAATGGCAGAGATATAAACTTGCATTTGTCAGAACTGATTTCCTCTTTTAATTGCGGGGTGTAATATCTCAGGCTTTTCCCGCAACACAAACGTCTCTGCTCTGCTTACATCTATCTGTCTTTGTTGGATCAGTGAAAGTCTCAGAGAGGAGAGAAATGGTGACAGAAAAACACTCCCGATTGGTATCTTTTCACTTCCTTTAAATAGATGTAGGGTTTTTTTTTTTTCATGTGTAATTACAAGCTAAAAATAGCAATAATGTGAAGTACAATTTTTGCTGTGACTGCCCTTAAAAATGAGCCTTTTCTTGTCTAATTCAAGTTGGAAATTTCTGCTTCTGGGTTTTTTTAATTCATTCAGCCTCACGTCCTTTGGTGAGGTTTTTGCCTTCACCGCTACTTGGGAGAGTGGTCAGGAAATTCATTTTTAAAATATGAGTCTCAGGTCCCCAAACTGCTTGTGGAAAGTACCTTTTGGATGTTGACAATCAACAGTGGTGAAAGAAACCCAAAGCCCGTCTTGAGCCTCAGAGAGGAGCCCAAAGTGGTCAGCAATGTGCTTCATCCTTGGGAGTCTTACAAACCACTCACAGGGTGGCTGGCTGCCCAGCAAGCAGAAGCACGGAAGCCCATCCTGCCTCACACAAGCCATACCTGTAGCTACCCACACAGAACATAATAAACATGTGCACTGAGGCGAGAGACCAGCTAGCCGACTAACAAGCCCCATTAAAAAAAATACAAAACTGTCATTGTTGCAAAACCTCGTTATAATGGAGGAAAGAGGGACTGTGAAAGAGACGTGAAGGAGAAGGAGTGGTGCGATTTTAGTGGCTGAGAATTTTCTTCCGAATCCTTCTCAAAGTGCTGCGCAATACTGCATTAGTGGTCATCATCGGGAAACATAGGGAGACATACAAGACCTTGGTGGGGGAGGAGGCTAAGCGAGGACACGGATATGTTAGCTCTAATATGGGTAAGAAGCTGCCTCTCATACTGGAACTGTGTGATGGAACTGCTCTCTGCCTCTGGCTGCCAGCACCTGTACGGTGACAGGCATGCAGGGGTCGTCACAGTTAGGAGACCGTTGGGATACCTTTTGGTCTAGTAACTAAACTGAAGAGCTGGGAGTTGTACACCCGGCTAAGTGGCCACACCTTTTTGCTGAACTGAGTCAGCCCTTCTAGATCTCCAACTGCACAAGGATATCATGGTGGACTGACTGCAGACCCGCTTCAGGTAGAGGATGTTCTGGATGACAACGGGGTCCCCTGGTAACAATCCCTGCACTTGGAGATATCTCCCTAACTCCTGGAATGTGTAGCTCAGAAAGACCCATGGCCAGGAGTGGTCAGCGAGAGCAGACCTCCAGAGGATGGCAGGTGCGAGGCGAGAGGGGCTGCTTACTTGTGGAAGTCCTCGATGCAGTGGATGAGGCCACTAGCATCCACAGTGAACGGGATGCCGTCCAGGCTGCGGTGACACATCACACAGGTGAAGCAGTGGGGGTGGTAGGCCTTCCCGGTGGCACGGAGGATCCGCTCCATGATCGGCTTAGAGCACACGTTGCACTGCTCCAGGGTATTCTGAGGAGAGAAAGAAGAGCGCTTAACACGACATGGGGGCTCCAGCGTTTCACACAGCGCTCTGGGGAAGGCTGTTGGCACACAGGTGAAGAGTGACGCACACAGGTCCTTGGGTACACACAATACACACAGGGCATTAGGCGGCAAACCTGTAATTTAGAAATACCCACTGTCCTTTTTTTCGACGGCATTCCTTTCTGCTTCACCAAGAGTGATGACAAGGTTTCCAATAAAGTCTCAGAGAGTAAGGATCTGTGGTGCTAACATCTCAGTTTCCCCACACAGGCCAAAGCACACAAGCAAACGGCCTGTAATTCAGTAAAGCTCTATGTACAAAAACAGGTAGTGGGCTGGATATAGTCACAAAACTGCACCGCCCGCCCAGGCTCTGTACTTATAAAATTGCTTTACTATTACAAGTAAAACTTGACTCAACATTAAAGATGCAGGAGGGGTCACTGAGGGCCCCTAACACTTTTATCTGTGTAGTCACTGAGACAAGAACACACTCTCTGTAGAGCCCAAACCAAAGCCCCTATTCAAAACCTCAAAATTCAAGCTGAAATGAACTCCTGATAGAGATGATGAGCCATAAAGTGGTGGGCTGGCTGTGAGAAGTAAACTAAGAAACTTGGTTCACCTGGATTTGAAAGTATGCGGAGCCTTAGGAATGCGTGTGACCTGCAAGAGCTAATATTAAGTAAGTCAGCATTTTAAAGGTCAGGTAGCAATCCTACCTCGCCCCCAGACTGTGTTCTCAACCAATAATCATATTTCACTTGCGGTTTATTCTCTAAACAAAAGTATCTGAAGTGACTCTCTAGAATGGAGAATCAGGATTAGGGTGCAGATGTCAAGAGAAAGATGCAGAAGTGGATAGAGCGTGGAAAATTACAAAGAAACTGCCTTCTTCCTGTGAGGTCTTTCTATGCCTTGAGGAAAGAGATGCTTGGATAGAGGTAACAAGGGTCCTGAAAACTGACCCAAGGCCACTCTTCTGCATTGGCTTGCTATCTCTCTCCTGAAATAAGCCCTTTACCTCCACAACGATGCCCAATTTACTTCCTGAAACATGGATGTGACCAGCTATTTTCCTGACAACGAATCTTCACATACACCATAGTACAAAGAGAGCCAATTCCTTCCATGGCATTCGACCTCCTTCTCCAGGCTCAGCATCTCACAGCATCCAAGCAGAGTGCTCACTCTCATGCATACTCAGGAAATACCCAACGTTTGGGGCTTGACTCATGATTACATAAACGATGGCAATTTGACTTTATGACCTTCCAATACACATCAGAGATCTCTTTGATGACTTACTTGAAAGCATTACTTCTTTCTCACCCACTTCAATATATATATGTGTGTGTGTGTGTGTGTGTGTGTGTGTGTTTGTATTTTTTCTACATCACTTAACAGTATATATATTATTACTTTACAATACTGTAATTTCATTAAAGGGATTCTTTCTATTTTAAAAGGCTTTTTTTAATCTATCCATTTCTTATTTGCTTTTATGTGCATTGGAATCTGTTCTGCATGTATGTCTGTGCGAGGAAGTCACGCCCACTGGAACTGTAGTTACAGACAGTCATAAGCTGCCAACTGGGTGCTGACACTTGAACCCGGGTCCTCTGGAAGAACAGCCAATGCTCTTAACCACTGAGCCATCTCTCTAGCTGGAAGGGATTATTTGTTAAGAATATATTTCTCTGTCCCAGGTGGCGGATAAAAGTCCACAGAAAGAATGAGCGAAGAACTGTGGTTTAGCTCTAACATGGAAGCACCGCACTGGTCCTCCTCCTCCAGCTCTGAAATCCATCCCAAGATGAACTGGTAAATCCACCATCATCTTCTCCTATGAGCCACGACTGACTAAGGTTCTAAAGCTGCCATAGTCTAAACTCACAGGAACTATTAACCTACTTTCCCCCCATTTTGAAGTGGTGTGATGAAAATAGTAGAGTCACACAGGATCAAAGTCTGGAGCTGACGATGCTCTGGGAAATGATCGCCCTGCCTCTTTTCTACTCTGGTGATCTGAGTTAACGTGACTGTAAATTGTCTTCACGGGGCTTCTGTTTTGATTCTCTGTGGCTTTTCACTTCTTGTCTTTATAAACCCAATCTGTAATGGAGTTGAATACACCAGAAAATGCTAGACCAGAGAACACATTTGTTTGCACTGAGGCTTGGCTCTGAGGTTCAGATCATTTGCTCAAAGCCAGGAGTGGCATATAAGGCTTAGTCAGTTTCTACGGTCTGTGAGCGCTCTATTCAGAGGATGGGTAATCCGGACAGTTCTACAAAGAAAATAAGCTGAAAATATTCCTAAAATTAGCCTCATGAAAAAATGCTCCAAAATCATAAAAAAAAAAGTTTCTAAGAAAGTAGCTGGCTCAGACAAATGGCCATGAAGGGCACCTTAGCCTTTACCAGACAATTCCCTTTATTGTATACCTCTGTCCCCATTTCACATTGTCAGGATACAGGGTGCTTGTACTTCCTCTAGTCCAGGCTGTCATTTCACAGGTGAGGTCACAGACTAGGGGGCGACTGGCTAACTGGGTCACTGAGCTCTTGAGGATAGGTGAGGTTGCACTTCTTTCCTGACTCCTGGTAGTTCAGAGAGGGGTCTGGCAAACTTATATGCAGCTACAACAAGGAGCATGCACCAGTTAAAGAGTATGCGTTGTCCTGGCTGTGACAATACCCACCGCATGATCCTAGGTAAATTCTTTCTTCTGTATTTACAGTTATTTGTTGGTACTAAGAATGCAGGAAAAGGCCATTTCCTCACTAGCAGATATGTACTAGAAATGAGTCGAAAAACCTCTTGACAGAGATTTGAAAGTGGGGGTCACATGTCTGTCTTCCCACTTAAAACTTAGAAATTTCTAATCATAAAATTTTAAGCACAACAATGGAAAGCTTTATACCTTTTTATACATGGTTATTTTTAAACAAAAAGCTGGACTCTCCATGTACACATCAAGCTTTTCTAAAGTAGGATAGAATGAAATGTGGAATAACAAGTTTTGGAGAAATTAAGCTTTAGTAGAAGCAGTAGAAAAGAGAAATGTCTAAGTCTGCTCAGGTCACATCTTACATGTGGAGCATGGTGCCATGTCTGATGGGGGAAGACAGTAGAAGAGCTGTCTTCTGCCTGTGGACCCTCACAATTCTGTAATTTGGCTCCTCCTTATGGAGGAAGTGGCAGCTGGGATTGACCTGCAGAATGGTTCTTCCATTAAGCTACCAATAAAAGCCTTTCTAGGTGCATCTATCAGTCAGTGGACCCAAGAACTATCCCCAAGAACAAAGTGTGATGCTGATTAAAGTGGTTTCATTAATTTGATAGTTAGCACAGAGAGACTTAGCTATAAGCATTCACCAGTCAGTATTTCCAGGAGCTAGGGAAATGAGAACCTCGATCATCAAGAGGCAGCATCATCCACACAAATAGTCATCCTCGCCCCAGGCCTACATAGTCCCTGGTGTCCGGTAGAAACTGGTACCAATCTATAGAAGACCTTGTCCACTTAAACTCAATGACAAATCTATATTTGATTAGTTTTTACAACAGTTATTCTAATCAAAGTATAGTTAAAATGCAAAGATTTGAGAGTAACAAAAAAAGAAGCAGAGAAGTAGTTGAAAGGCATAGACTGCAAACTTTTCTGAGATGATGATGATCCAGTTGTGATTAGAAACAAAAATTTAACTAAAAATTAAACTGAAATCACAAACAAACTTGTACTCAAAGCTCCCCAATGCAACTGTTTTTAAATTTGAGATACAATCTGGTTGTAGTTTTTATATCCTTGGGTGCTATATAAATAACTTTTCTAATTCCCAAGCAGAAGAGCTGGAAGGAGCAGCTGAATATAAATGAAGCACACAGGCAGCACAAACACTTATCTACTAGTGAGAGAAGGAAGAGTGTTAGAGCCGACACGCCAGACAGGAATATGCTGGTCAGTGTGAGTTCTTTCAATCACGACATAAGCATAAGAAGAGTTGGAAGACCAGAGAGTCTTGTTAAAACTTTAATTTTACAAAGTTAAAGTGTGATCTTACATTTTTTGGCTAAATGAGCAATATCACAAAACAGGATTATAAGATGACATGGTAATATCTCATTTTTTAGAGAAAGTTTATGAGAGCAAAGATATAAGAATTATGCTTTCTTCAGTCTAGAGTTTACAACTTTCCACTTTAGCCTCCCTTAAAATGCTGTGCTTAGAGAAGTGATACCACGAAGGACATGAAAAGGAGCCCAAACTTACTCAGAGATGAAAAGTGTTTTTACAGACCACCAACCCGAGTGGAATACAGAAACCGAGGCCTGGATTGTGAACATGGCTAGAAGCAGATTCACGCCTCCTGGTCCCTGTGCAATGGGGAACAATTCCAGTGTTCAGGTTGCACTTCTGTGTTTTTGTAGACACACTCTATTCCGCAAACAGAAGGCACTCAGGCTTACTACCTTTGAGTTACATGCATAGAAATCAAGTCAGGCAACACATCGTGATCTTAAGACCATCTGTCCGCCGAACTCCTACACAACCAGCCAGAAAACTCATTGTTGGATCCCGGCATTTACAATAGTGTTTCCACATAAAATTGATGCCTCATAAATTTTAATTAGATGATAAGCCAACAAACTGTGGATAATTTAAAATAAAATTATTTTATATAACCGTGTGCCAGACAGTAAACTTAAGTGAGTTCCGGGTATACCAAACTTGAGAGGGGCCAGAGGAGGGTCTCCAGATTCCTCAAGTCATGAGCTAGGCCTGGAGATAATTCATTTACTTCAGTGTCCTGAACAAATGCCATCATTTTCTACATGAGTGGTGAGGTGAAAGCTTGGGAAGCACATTTCAAGTGTAAGTGTTACCAACAGAATGGCAATGTGGCTCAGCAGAAAGAGCTTGGTCTACAATTCAGCAAATCTCTCTCTCTTAAAGTGCCAGTGGAATTATTTAAGTTGAA